CCCGGCTTCGGGTTGTCTGTTCCCTTGCGGATATCGTGGAGAAGAATAACTAACTTTGATTCCCCAGTCCGCACAAAAGGAATGAACTCGGAACAGGGATATTTGGCGTCATCAGAGAGATTATTTGAGCAGAAAATGGTTGTTTTAGGAAGAGTAAAAGAAAGGGGTGATGAGTGACGTTACCGACGGCGAAGCGGTGGGAGAAGCATTGAGGAAGGAGAGGAAATCAGAGACAAGGGAGCTCTTATCCATGGCTCACTCTTGTGGATCTCTTAACTTGAGTTCTTCGGGTTTCTGTGAGGGAGCTCTCCAATGGATTGTTCGCTAGCAGGAAGAGAGAGAAAGAGCTCCGGATTTGTCCCGTTTGATTTCCGATCTTCCATCCGTCTAAGTCTCGCCGGAGCTTCTGTTTCCGTTTTTGTAACCCGAGAAGTTGTATTGGCCCATTACAAAGCCCAATTGGGATGATTTTTAATGATTTTTTTTTTTTTCTCAAATTGTAAAAGACTAGAATTTAACCCGCGGTACACCGCGGGGCTATAATATTATTTTTTAAAAGATTAACTGTAAATATATCATATTAATTTGTATTTTTAAATGTAGATATCTATCTATATATTATTTAGTGTATGATTACTATTGTTTAGGTTTCAATTTTTGAAGTATAGATTCGAAAACATACATTTTTTGAAGTAACGATGTATGGTAGATTTTAAAATTTTGAATATTTTACTCCGCGGTATACCGTGGGTCGATTTTTTTATAACTAAAATTTTTAAATTTCAAGTTGTATTTATTTTGTTAATATTGTATGTTTTGTTTTGTGTTTAAGGTTGTATAATTGTATTTTGATTGTTAATTTTAGGATTTCATCCGTGATAAACTGTTCTTTATTAATATCGATCCAAACCCGTCATCCCATATAAACCCATCTATATTATCCCGTTAGCAAAATTATTAGTGTTATAAAATCCAAGAAAAGAAATTCTTATTATTATAAAATCCAATAATTTTAGGATCTCACCCGTCGTATACCGTTCCTTGAATGATTTTAAATTTATACTACTAATATATATTTTAAATTTATCATATAAAGTATATGATTTCAAGTTTTTGTGTTTTTTTTTTTATTTAAATAAAGCAACGGCTTAAATGATGATATATATAGTTCTTTTTCATGTATGTGTATATGATTTTTCTATGTGAATATTTTGATTATTATAAAGAGAAATTGTTAAAAATGCCCCTTTTTCAATACTCCTTTTCAAAAATGCCCCCTTTGAGAGTCTATTTTTAAGTTTACCCTCTTTTAATTTTTAATGACCATTTTACCCTTATTTGAAACAAAATTAGGTCCACAAAATACAAAATATTTTTTGGCGGGAAAAGTGATCCCGCAATTTTCCCGCCAAAACACTTGTAAAAACCTTTAAAATACCTTGTAAAATTTGCCCGTAAACATTTTTCCCGCCAAAAAATTTTTTTTGCGGGAAAAGTGATTCCGCATTTTTTTTGGCGAAATTTTTTTGGCGGGAAAAATTTACAAGGTATTTTAAAGGTTTTTTACAGAGTATTTACAAGTGTTTTGTAAGGTTTTACAATGTATTTTAAAAGGTTTTACAAGATACTTATAAGGTTTTATAAGATATTTATAACTTGTAAAACCCTATAAAAAACTTGTAAAACCTTATAACTTGTAAAACCTTATAAAATAGCTTGTAAAATCTTATAAATACCTTATAAATACGTTGTAAAACCTTTTAAAATACATTGTAAAACCTTATAAATACCCTGTAAAAAACCTTTAAAATACCTTGTAAATTTTTCCCGCCAAAAATTTAACGCCAAAAAAATTTTACAAGGTATATTAAAGGTTTTACAAGTTTTTACAAGTGTTTTGGCGGGAAAAATTGCGGGATCACTTTTCCCGTCAAAAAGTATTTTGTATTTTGTGGACCTAATTTTGTTATATTTCCTTATATATTTGTGATATCTTTTATTAAAAGAAGGGTAATTTAGTCATTTTGTACATAAAAAGGGGTATTTTTAAAAATGGACAGCCAAATAAGGTATTTTTGAAAAGGGGTATTGAAAAAGGGGCATTTTTGTGAGTCTCCCTATTATAAATTAGTATTTTTTTATTGCTAATTTGCTATGCAAAATGTTGATATAAATATTTGCTATAAATCGGATTTATGCATATTTAATTTTTTTTGAAGATATATGGAAAGATTGTGTAGAGATTTTTAGAAACAAATTAGGCAAGATATCGTTTGGTTAATATCTTTTATTTAAATTTTGTAACTTAATAATAAATGTCAATGGCATAAGTTGTAAATACTTCCCAACTCCAGGATTTATTTGCTAATTGTGATCCAAAAATGTATATATAGATTCAGAACCGATCTCGTTAATAAGAATGAAAAAAAAAAGTTTATAACCACTATGGTAGTTAAGATTCACACTGAATATTTAAAGGATGTTAATCGATTGTGAATAATATATAATTATTATGATTGCATAAAAACTAATCAATTTTTAGAGATTTTAAAAAAGATTTTACAGATTCACCGAGATTTTCTGGAGAATATGATTTTACCATCTAGGATTTTGAAAGTTTATAAAAGTTGTTTCAAATGAAAAAAAATGTTTGAAAGTCAATCAACCAATAACACTAAACTTTAATATAATCTAAAAAATTAACAAGGAATATAAGAATTGAAATATATGTTAATTGACAAAAAAAACCATTTTAAGTACTGTATATCTTATGTCTTTAAATCTTCTTCGTCTCTCTAATTTCACCTGCTAAGTGAAGTAAATTAACGTTAAACAAAGAAATTTAATACAATAATTATAAAGATTAGTAAAAGCATTTGTAGGCTCGTAACTTCAAGTGATTGAGAGATGACGACTCTTCAACTACACTCAGCAAATAGCCGTTTCGGCGGAATAATGCAGGAAAAAAGATCAAACGATTAAGAAGAGTTCTACACAGCGAAGTGTTGTTCATTGAAGAAGAGAGATTTAGCAAAGCATTTCGAGCGACAAACTCGAAGGTATTATGCTCTCAATGGTCTAAATAATCCAAGCCTGAAGCAAGTGTATCTCTCATCCATAGACGATTACCTGAGCCAACAAACAAAGCTGTATATCAGAGATCAAGGGCAGACAATCGAAGAAATCTCGATTGGACAAATCCAGCAGCAGGTGTTCAGAACCCTTGACAAGCTTTGTAAGCAAAAGGAGTTTTGGTCAGAATTCATGGACAAGTCAAAGCATCTTTCGAAGATATGTGCTCGCCCAGATCTGAACATCAAATGTTCGAAAAAGAAAAAATGTTCATGTGAAGATCGACGAAAAGACCGAAGAAGATCCAAGGAATCATTCTTGAAGTCGAAATATTTCAACAAGATTAAACGCAAGCGATTCTTTAGGAAGAAGAAAAGCTTCAAGAC